GGGCTTTCTGTATGTCAGTGAATCTCTAAGTACCTGGAACCAAGCACCTTTAGTTGTTTGTGAGGCTGCACTTGTGCATGTAAGGTTTATCCAAAGGAAAAATGCTCAGTAGTGGTTGTGAAGAGCCGAAGACGTGCCCCACCAAAGCACCGAGGCAAGTGCAGGGGGACCCAAAATCCCAGATGCCAAAAGGGACCCCCATAGTAAAGGTGGGAAATCTGCCACCCCACCAGGGAAGAGAAGAGACGGCTCTGAGGTAAGCAAAAAGCTAGCACCCCCCCTGCACTATCCACCCTGAAACACGGGGTCCTACTCTGGTTTGTGATGTTTCTACTAGCTGTCCCAATCCTCTGGTCCCTACTGACAACTGGGTTGACTTGCCTTCCATAGGTCACACTTGGTTTGCGTTCAACCGTTAAAGAGGACCTTGGCGCTTTTCACAGCTGAACTGCTGTTCCATTATCACCTACGTATTCCTGGGGCATTTTTACCTGATTAACCTACGCCAGAGTTCGGCCCACTTTGGCAATGTTTTTTTGCCGAGCGAGACTCTTCTCATGTTCCTAACCCTGTTCACCATTGTTTGCCCCAGTTCTTTTTTCCTGAGAAATTACAGGCCTCTAAATTTGTTATTGCACGTCACAGTGCACACAGAACACCACTACCACCTTTGTATGATGGTCCTTTCAGAGTCCTTGAACAAGGGCCTAAACATTTTCTTTTAGGCTCAAACCTGGTCATGTCCTGGTGGAGGATCAGGTAATAACGGCCCACGCTCTGCGTAGAGGAAGACCCCCTTCCACTGTTTAAATAGACCACTGTCCTCCTTCCAGGGATCCTCATCTGTCGGGGCTCAACCCCTCTGCAGCCCGTTCTTGTTGTCCTCATCCTCTGGCACAGATGTTCTGGGATCATTCTACGGAGCCCAAGTTCAGCCGTTTTTGATGTTTGTTGAAAACCAAAGTTTTTAGATTATTATTATAGATTTTTTTTGTTATTTATTACCCTATTGATTG